TCTTCAAATGTTGAATGTATAACTAATCCTAATTTCTAGTTTCCCATCTTTACACTATATTAATTTTATCTTATAAATTGTCTCCTGTTCTGTTACCCATGAAATAAAAATAATTGTTTGTAGGGAAAATAAGGATCTACGCACATCAAGTCTTCTTTAAGGGGCAGCAGAAGAATTATCGTTGGACTTTTAAACGGTAAGCTTAAACATTAATACTTAAATGCAGCAATCAATTTTGAGTTCTTCTGTAGTTTATTGATGCCTATCGTATCTGCTCCTACCTAGCTATTGTGATGATGGCCAAACCAAGAATCCTCCATAGGAGCTAGCTTAAATACTGCCCGATGGGGCGATTTTAAGCTAGTGAATTATAAAGAAAAGAGAAAAAAAACGATGAATTAATATAAAATAAATCAAATCGTTTTTTTTTAAATTTCTTTTATTTTAATTAAAGAATTCCTATCCCTATAGAAATTTGCGATTGTTATATATTTTGTTAACACTTTTAACTTTTTTATGTAGGTTAAGAATAAAACAACTGAAATTGTCGAAAGATCTCACTGGAAAGCAACTGTGTGTTACAATAGAGAAAACAATGTAACCAAAGCGTAAATTACAATTGGGGGATATGTTAATCAACATCTGTTTAGTGCTTTATAGGTAAACGAGCGCAAACATTAATTCCATTGGCGTTAAACAGTTACCAGTTCAGTTATGTGCCATGCACGATTCCCGCTTAGGCAATCATGTATCTTTAGATACATGAATGACGAGGCAGATTTTTTTCCTACAGTAGATTGCCATTTCTTTCTGCGGTAGACCAGTTGCCATCCAAGTCTATAGAACCCGATCTGTTCTGCTATTTACTCATAGATGGCGAGAGAAGAAGAGGATTTATACCTTTCCTAAAGGTATTAGCACGTAAGTGAATGTAATGGATTCGACTAGAATTCGAACTCGCAGTCCGACCTTCTATCCATTATTCCATCGTGTCTATTCTTTACTATTTTATATTCCACGAATCATAAGTTTACGTATATCAAGTTGGTGCCATATAAGAGATTTAATCTAAATATATTTCTTTACTTTAAGCAGGATTCTTAAGGTTCATGCCTCTAAAGACTAAAAATGATATGTTAAAATTAACTTAAGACAGGCATATAACTGAAAGTCCCTAATCGCAAAAGAATCAATTGATAGCCCCCAAACATTCATTGGCGATATAGGGACATGATACAGAATGGTGTTAGAAAATGCCCGTCCCGCCAAAAAAATCTCCATTCCCTTCGGAATAGTCTCCTTGGAAGCGTACATAACTTTCCCGGCATTTCTGAAGCTGCAAACAGGTATCGAACCCCTGTGTAGGGTAGAAACCGACCAGTCGGTAACAAACTGCACTAGGGTTGGTGGACCATGTTAACGTCATCCAAATTAAATGATTACGGATTTTTGTTTGTTAGAATTTTGACGTAATATGAACAATTGGAATGAGATGATCGGTATTTTTCTTTTTTCAGCAATTAAATGCACTGGAATTCGTTTTAAACAAGGAGAATTAAAAATAAAAAAAAATGAATTATTAGCAAAGAGATAAACAAACTGTATGGAGAATAATCTATTTAAATAAGAGAAAAGAGGCTTTATATGTTGTTCTCAATTAAAAATAACTTCGAGTAATTCTGGGTATGAATGAATTTCGCAAAATGCCAAACAAGTGCGTCACCTCCGATTTGAAGAGGTCTCCAGCAAAACGCAAACGGGTTAAAAAAAAAAGAAATTCTAAATAACCCGAACACAAATTCTCAATGAGTTCAATTCGCTTGCAAAAAAAATATTTTTAATCAACGTTAATAAATTTATTTTTGTTTTGAGAGCATAAAGATATGGCATTGTGTGCAAAGTTCTGTTTAACGATCACGTTCAACTCCCAACTGTGTTTTGTGATAAGATCTCATTCGATCACGACAATTGCTCAGGTGATCAATGACGTAAGAAAACGCACGCAAAATTAGACAGCAATACGGTTCGGGTTAAAGTAGACAGTCTCGATTCGAAATAAAAAGCGGGCCGTATATCTTCAAAAAACTTACCAAGTACCGAACCCAGCTTGTGAGATCAGTGTTTTAACCAGTTTACATTTATTTACTTCCTGAACAAGAGTAAGAAAAATTATTCACCCTGTGCTCGCATATATAAGTCGATCCCTTTCATTGATCGACTTTTTGGTAAAAACAAACTCGTACTTATATAAGAGAGGTGTCGAAAAGTTATCTGGCTTCTAAATTTTCCATTTCCCAAAATATCTATTTCAATAACAAATAATTGATTTTTTTTTGTTACGGCTTATCAATCCTTTTGAGGATTGTTTGAAGCAGAAACATATATGAGATTGTAAGATGGCGCTTACAGTACCCGTTATTCACAATCCGTCCCTTATCTTAGTAATGACCAGGGGCGACTCTTCTTAACTTCGGAGATCGAACGAGAACCGGTGTTTACCGGTGTAGCCATTTCGATACACACATAAGAGAATATTCATCTTGGGAAGTTAAATTTGAACGGTTTTCCTGCAGGCCGTTCCTCATACACTTTGGACGAGACAGAAGATTTCGTTGCACGAGATTCCGAATTAACGCTGTAAAGGACAATTTCAGAAAGGTGTAACACAAAAACAAACGCTTTATACGTTTCTTTATCATTATCCAACGATGTATTATAAATATCCTGGTAACTGAACAGTTGTCGACACTGAAAGAAGAAATCGGCGATATGGGATCGATTTTGGCCTAGTCGGGTGCTTTCACTTGACGCATGACAAAAACAAACTCATTTTTTTTTTGTCTTTCATCTATGGGCTAAATAGCAGTGTAGACAGGCCTCCATATCCTAGTTACAATCCCATACAGTGGCAACCATGCCAATTAACTCATATTTCAAAGGGAAATGCCGACAGTCATAATTGTCTACGATCTTAACAGGCATATTATTAAACGACACATTTGGCTGCCTTGTGCTTGCTATGTTGGGACTAAATTTATATGCCTTGTAACAATACTAACTTACATCATTTCCGTTAGAAAACGATATCAGGTTAATTGTGGATCATAAAGTACAGAAAGGGGTTTGATGAATATCCCTAGGTGTATCATGGTGGAGTTACATGTTCCGTAACCAATTAAGGTCATAAGGGAACAAGATATAATGCACCCGTAACAATTGTGTCTTGTATAAGACCCAACCCGAATAAGGGTTTGTTAAAATTCATATTTCCTTTTACCTAGGCTGGTTGCCAACCAAGGCTATAGGACATATTATGTCCTGTTATCTTCTTCAGATTGGTTTGAATTCTGAGTTTTCCTACTTTAGTGAGGTTGAGGTCCAATGCTCAACTAGCTTTCTTCATGGAGGACTTTGATAATATCCAAATAATCTGCTAAAGAATCGCAATCACGAATCCTTTACTCTATTAGGCTTGTCATGATCACGATCACAAGTACCGTAACAGCTAAGGGTCATAGGTGCACAACATTTACTGCAGTCATAGAAGAAGATGTGTGTCGTGGGCAAGATAGTCTACGGAATCCAACCCTCTTCAGGCTGGTTTGAGTTCGAAGTTTCCATTCTCTTACACTGGATGCCAACCAAGGCTGTAAGATACAACTCGTTATGCTATTTTCTTTACACTATTTACATTATTTGGACTATTGTCCTCATCTTTGTTGACATATTTATCACAATGTTTCGGCCATTGTACGCTCCGACGTTCTTCAGGTGGTTGGAATGTTGAACAAAACCCTTTATTTCGCTCACTGGGGTAGACTGTTCTAGTTCCCCGTACCCTATCTAATGGATGTCTTTCATCAGTTATCTCCTGTTAATTCCCCTCTCCAAGTTCTCCACTGTCTTAACCATATTAAAGGGTTCAGTTCGACATTCAAACCGCCTGAAGAAGGCCGGAGCGTACAACGGACGAAACGTTGTGATAAATATGTCAACAAAGATGAGGACAATAGTCCGAAAAATGTAAATAGCGTACATAATATCTCATCTCAGAAATATAGACAGAAATTTTCTTTATGTTGGTTTGAATCCAGTGTTTGCCTACTGTAGCGAGGCTGAGGTTCAATATCTAACTGGAAGTCTCCAGGGTAACATTCATAATATACATATAATTTGTCAATGAATCACAATCCCGAATCTCTTAAACGAAGTTCAGATTTTGTTATTTTTGTTCAAGTACTTTCGACTTTAGCAATCGTTGTCACGATGTCTGTATGGTAGTTAGAATACCTATGTCTGTATGCTGGTTTCTCTTTAGGGAGCTGGACGTGCGAAATGGTCTAGCGTGACGTCAGGTGTAATGGCTATTGAGAACGAGGCTGTACAAAAAGATTGCGATTTATTTTATTTAATTAAGCAATTTTTACTTTTAATACTATTATAATATGTGCGAACATTAATTATATCATATGCACACAAATCCACAGTTCGTAGCAATTACTTTTTTTTAAAGTGCTCAGTACAAAGTAGAGCCAAAGATTATTATATTTTTATTATAATAGATTACAACAAAAACATTTTATATCGGTATACAAAAACTATCATGAGTTAATACTATGATAGTTTTTTAGTTTTTTTTATTTTATCACAAGTTATCTACCATTGCCTGAGTAAGTACTATCATAGTATTAAAATATGAAAGCTTTTGTGTAGTGATATAACATGTTTCTATTGTAATCTATTATAATATATATATATATATATATATATATATATATATATATATATATATATATATATGTGTGTGTGTGTGTGTGTGTGTGTGTGTGTGTGTGTGTGTGTGTGTGTGTGCTCTCAAATAATTCAATTGAGCCCTCGAGTGGCTGCTGCTACTAATGCAATGTTCTTCTACTCGAATCGAGCTCTCGTAATTACTGACGTCATTCGCATCCTAAAAACGTTAACATTTCCCTTCCGCTCTGCCGTGCGACGATAGCCTGGGGGTAGAATCTCTAGCTGATGCTAAATCTCTCGGGTTTCGATTGAAGCAATCGGATATCTAGCCACACTGAGGAGCTGCAAAACAGTCTGTCTGTGGATGACTATATATATATATATATATATATATATATATATATATATATATATATATATACATTCAGTCATCTTCATGCTTGAAATTATTTTGTTTTTGCTAAAATTCAGGTAGCATCCGAAAAGAAATATATATATATTTTTTTGAATGCGTTATTGATAACGGGTACAAACTTGAGGAGCATGGAGTCGTAACGCTAAGGTTATCAATACAGGTTATAATTTATAAATTTTTTAAAAATATTATGAAAAATCGTGTCGCCTCTGAGTGTTGACTTCAATGTCCACTTTTATATTTGCACACGTTCTATCCAATACTTTATTCCATAAACATAGTGTTGTAACTGAGTTATGAAAAACAAAGGGAGAAAAACAGAATTTGTTTAACAAGTTTATTACCTTTTAGTACTGGGAAACATAATGTATAATAGAAACTAGGAAAGTGAATGTTTAGCCGTGATTGATAGTTTTCACCAGAAGCTACTTTTGTTACTCTACTCCTATATATATATATATATATATATATATATATATATATATATAATTTATTCGAAAAGTATAACATAAATATATTATAAAAATCACTGCAAAATAGCCATTTTGTTTCAACATTTCTGGTGTCTTATCCAGTAACCTGGATAAGACTCCAGAAGTGTTGAAACAAAATGGCTACTTTTGTAGTGATTTTATAATATATTTATTTTATAATTTTCGAGTAAATTATATTTGCTCTACTTTGTATTGAGCACTCTTTTAAGAATAGTATTTTTGGTTATTGAAATTTATTCCGTATACTCCAATCATATACTTGATATATATATATATATATATATATATATATATATATATATATATATATATATATCGACCTTTGACATTTTTTTTAATCCTGATGTGTGCCGAACGGACATTTTATTTACTCTACGAGGCAGGTTAAATTTCGTAAATTAAAAATCGAAATTTTCTAAATCGAAAGTTTAACCAAGATTAAAAACTGAAACACCTTAAAGTGCACACTGATTGACAAGTACCTGATGAAGGCTGGATGGCACACCGGCCGAAACGTTGCGTTAATAACAACAGAGATAAGGAAAACAGTCGTATTTGTGAATAACGTAAATAAAGTATGTTTGAGTATCTGTCATGGCGGGAGCTTTCTCTTAACACCTTCACTCCAGATTGGGTTTTAGTTTAATGAAATAAGTATAAGTAGGACTATTATTTTGGAGAGATTTGGTTTTAAATGCTCCGTTAATTCATACAACATTTTTATACGACTATCTCAGTGAAAGTAGCAGAGGAACATTTGATTTACAGCCAAGGCATTTATAATTTGGCAATCCACGGAATATTTGAGTAAAAAGAATCAAGAATAATAAAATCAAATGAATAAAAAAGAAATCCCCTAAAAAATAGAAAAGATGGCAAAAAGAAATTTCCCGATGAAGGTGCTTAGCAGATTAATTGTCACCCTTTTATATATTTTTCCGTTATTATTTTTGCCATCAAAAGTCTTGAATTTTCCAAGACACAGGGAAACAAAAGTCAAAAAAATAAGGAATAAAAAAAAAATCGAAGCCAAAAGAAAAAAATCGAATTTATTATTATTGATTGTATTGCTCTTAATTTGATCAATCAGACGATAATTTTTTATTTTATTTTGCGTTACCTTAAGTACAATTCTTCAAGCATTTTTTATTGTTTTTATTTACCGATCGGATTCTGTTTGGAGTAAAGAAATAAAAATCAACTCCTGTCCCTTGGAAAAGAAAATAATGTCATCATAAAATCTCTAATTATTTCAAATAACGTTTTTAATTATATATACGCATATGTCTAAAAAATTAGGAAAAAAAAAAAAAACAGTAAGAATAAAAGCAGTGGGCCCTTAAACTTAACGGACTAATAGGGGTCATCCCTTAAAGCCGTTTGTCTGTTAATTTGAAACAGTTTTATTCATGGCCTAAAAAACCCAGTAGAGGACAAAATTATTGTAAATAAATGTAAATACAGTATATATGTATGTGTATTTTATTTTTAAGTTAATTTTAGTTTTATTTTTGAACTTAATTTATTTTAAGTTACTATATATTAACTTAGAATAAATTACATACACAGAGATAAGGAGAGAGGGAGATGCTGTGTATGTCACATACACATCGAGAGCTCAAGTAAATTCGGCTATTCTCGAAACTACCAGTCTCTGTTTGTTGATTGCACCAGTAAATCAATAGCGGCCATTCTGGAACTAACAGGGGAACCTCAATTTAACGGACTAATCGGGGGAGTTTCGTCGATTAAAGCCGTTTGTCCATTAATTTTAAGCACTTTTTTCGTGATCGTAAACACCTAGCAGAGTACAAAATTATTGCAAATAAATGTAAATCATATTTATCATAAAACCCA